TGGGAATCAGAAAATCACTTTATTGAAAGGTTCTGGACTGGGTCAAAGGGACCTGATCAATTGGCATGAGCAGAGAGCAATCTTGGTTCCAAAGAGGAACTGCCAGTGTATGATTTGTTAAGGAAGGAGAAGAAGAGCTGAGACCCCAAGGACTGAGCCCACTGAGCTCTTAGAGAAAGAAAGAAAGAAAGAAAAAAAGAAAAGCTAGAACCCACCTTACATCCCTAACTTTTGGTCAAAATTGGTTTTCACTTTAAATTTTTTTATCATGATTATATTTTCCTTGCTGAAGCATGATGAAGTACGAGGCCCCCAGATCAGGTAGGGAAGACCTATGGTAACTTCTCTAAACACTACCCTGCCAAATCCATTCCTCCTCAACTTTTATTCCTCCCTAAATTTGCTCAACTTTTAGAGTAAAACTTGGGTGGGGTCTGCCTTGACCCTAGGTCCCATTCTTTAGGTTAGAGTGTTAGAGTACTCCTGTGCCCTTCTACCTACTTAGTGCTGGGCTTTGCTTCCTGAGCCCTCCTTAAGTCTGGGCCAGATCTTTACTGAGGGCAAAGAGGAACTAGATTGGGGCTTTGCTAAAGTGTGGGACTTCTCTGTGTGGAAGGGACCAAAAGGAAAAATCTGTTGTGTTTCCTACTTCCTCCAGCCCTTTTTATAGGGTAAACTGGGGGCAGCATTTTAAATTATAATGGTGGGGAACTCGGAACTGTGGTTTTTATGGGGTTCGCACTGACCTCATTAAACTTGAGTTTATTAGAGGCAAAATGCTCCCCAAACAGTGATAGTAATCAAGGAGAGGGAGGCAAGAGGTACCCCTATCCCTTGTAGAGGTGTTGATGAGGGTAGTGTTTCACCTTCTGCTTTCTCCCCTTCCCTAGRAGAGTCTGCTTCCTTCCCCCTTCTGGCCTCCCGGGCAATGAGGGGCCCAATCCCCCAAGGCACATTCTGCACAGGCAGGGACAAGGGGGGTGTGGGCTGCTTCCTGTGAGGAGACAGCTGTGGGCCTGAGCACTTGAATTTGACCACCAAGTTTATTCCAGGGCCATCATAAAAGTAAGCCAGGCGGCTGCAAGGGGCTGCTGGCGGCCTTATTTCCTTGAAACAAACAAACGAACAAACAAAAACAAAAAGGAAACGCAAGAAAGAACATCAATGACTTAATATCCTGGAAACTTGGGGTCTCCCAGTACAGACTTTTGAGAAGTTATACTCTGCTTCCTAAAAGTAAAACACCAACTTTACATTTTTTCCTATTGTTTCTCTGACTTTTAGTTTTTCAACAGTTAAAAAAAAAAAATCCCTGAGGCTGTCAGTTGCTGCTGGGATCAAGGAAAGAAGGCCCTAAGGTCAGCAAGATGTTGATTGGCAAAAATACCTAAGGTGTGGGGTAGTGACTTCTCTGCCTAGCCTTGGTTCCAGACCACCCATAAGCATGGTCTGAGCTTGCTTGTCCCAGGTTGCACCCTCTCAATCCGCAGTTTCTGGCCAGGACAATAGTTATCTCCCCTATAGGGAGCCATCTGTGGCCCCAATCCTTTCCCTGGTGGGCTTCACTCCAGGTGGCTATTTTTTTCCTCACCTKGTAGGTGGGGAGGTCTCTCCAACCTCCCAGAGTCCGATCCTTCACCTGAAATCCTCCGCGGGAGGGCCATCCTGCTCGCTCTTGTTGGCCTCAGTTCCCGCTGCCTGCCTGACCGCTAGCAGGCGGCTGTGGTCCGGGTAACTGCCTTGGTAGTCTGACCAGGGCCACACCAGCGCCCTTCCCTCCCACACAGGGACGCAGAGACAGCTTCAGAAGGGGGCAGTATCTAGCGAATTCTGGCCTGAGCAGCTCCCAGCGGCCTCCCACACACAGCGCTAGGGTTGCCTTGCAGCTTGTCTACCTTTTCCTGGGTTTTACAGATCTTGGTAGGGAGAGGTGACTACCCCACAGATCGTGACTAGGAAGAAAACCCTGGGAAAAGAAAAGGGGGTGCCTAAGCTCTCCTATGGGCTTTGGTTGTAAATTCAGTCCTTTATAGTCGATGAAAAGATAAGGGGAAGGAGTCCCATGCATGGACACCCACAGTTCTTATCCTAGGAGGATGAGGAGGAGCCCTCATAAAAAAATCAGCTTGCACCTTTTTGCACATATTTCTGTCCCTTAGAGCAATATTGTTGCATTGAATAATCCCTTTAGAGTGCTTTGGGATTTTCAGACTAACAGTTTATTTTTCAAAGGAGACACCCATACCCTACTCCACCTCAGCCAAGAAACTGGAAAGGGTGGGACTGCTGGTTTGCAGCTTCCGCCTAGCTTCAGCCTTGGTCAGAGCCCCAAGCCCAAGGCCACAAGTCAGGCYACCTAAGTGATGGACTCTGCTCAGTTTCCTCCGGCATATGGAAGAGGTGTGTGGTAGGAGAAGGGCAGTTTCTCTACCCCTGTAGCCCCACCCAGCTTTCTCCTGAGAGGTATTGTCCCAGGAGACTAGMAGTGCAACCCCATTTCTCCCCATAAAAGCCCGATTTTATGAGCCAGTTTCACTGCCCCCCATCACCAAATGCTCTAAAATGAAAGAAATGCCTTAAAAGTAGTCTGGAAATGGAGCCGCTGCCCTGAGCCTTAGTTTCCAAAGCCAGTTGTGGCCCCACAGAAAATATCTTTTCTGGGTGGAATTGCCCGCTTGGGCCACCCAAATCTCCCCCCTTGCTCATAGCAGAGACTGGGTTGGCCCAAGCMGCCATTCCCAGGCTTTAGCGCCTACTTAGGCTCGGACCCAGTCCTAGCTGATCAAAGTGAGCTAGCGGCATTTTTATGAGATCAACTTCAGTGCCTCTTTACTTGTAATCAGACGCCTGGATCGAAAATGCAAAAGAGAACAGCCCATCAATCCAAAAAAGAAAAGGAGAGAGAGAGGGAGAAGAAGAAGGTAAGGGAGAAGAAGGAAAGGGAGGAGAGAGAGCAAGAGAGAGAGAGAGAGAGAGAGAGAGAGGACAGAAAGAAGGATCTGAAAATTCAGGTGTCACAGAGCAAGAAGATTCCAGTCACCAACAAAAAAAAAGAATCTTTGCCCCCAGCAAGAATGGTTTGTGGGTCTGTCCCAGCCTCTAGGCCCTGTCTTTCTGCCCGCACTTTTCTGCCGGATTTCCGGGAGCCCTGACTCGCCAGGGCTTGAAAGCTAGATCCATCTGATAGCTTCCACAGTGTGGACGCCTGCGTGGGTCGAGTATGCTGGCCTCCATTTTCTTGCCCCTACAAGAAAGCCTCCTTCTGCTCACGATTTAAAAGWCTCCCCCATTTTGCTGCCTTCTGTGATCTCCATGGTTCTCTCTTCACTACAGCCAGAAGTTGAGTTACAGGAAGATTCGCCAGAGATTTATCGCCSAGCCCCAAACTTGGAGAGCCTCGTTGTCATAAACAGCCGTCTATTGTCTAGACTTTTATCTCCCGGTATGGATCTGGATCATGCATTAGCAAGGCTCAAGGGACGTGGGCTGGCTCTGTGGGGTGTGCAGTGCAGCCATGCCTGCCCAAGACCCTTAGGGGTTTCTTTGGGTCAGTTTAGAAGAATGCATAGATTTGTGTGTGTTCTTGGAGTTGGGCAGGTATACCTGAGTGTCCACGGGCGGAGGCCAGAGGTAGAAAAGGTCTCTTTCTCTCTGTGCCTGGGAACATTCTGGTGCGTGTACTTGTGTGTTGGGTGAGAATTTGTCACGGTGTGCTTTGTTCTGGGGCATTTTAAGTGTTCCTGTCTGGGCTTTTGCAGGTTTTATTAACCTGCATCCGCTGAGCCTGTTTATGTCCCTTCGAAGCAGATCATCTGGTGTTTTTCAATATTGGAGTCTATTGTGTGGATTGGCTTCTTTGAGGAAATGGTTTTGGGTGATACCTTTCCAGCCTTGCCCCTTCAGATTCCCCTATCCACCCTGAATCACACTTTAGCTTCTGCCTTCACCAGGGTGTCTGGCCTTGCCTTTCTCTGTGCAAGTCCCTAATYTCCGAAGTGCCTGCCAATTTTCTGTCAGGCATAGAGTACATTTTTGCAGGGTGAAGTCTGGCTATCTCTATCATTCCCACACTAGGGGGAAGCATCCCAACTAGTAAACCTCTTCACTTCCTGGGACTCCCCTTCACAGCTGAGGGAACATTAGAAAGGGCCTCCCCTGTCCATTTTGAACATTTAAAATACTTTCTGCAGAACTCTAGATCTTGACAAACAGGGCCCACCATTCCTTTTCTGGGACTTCCTGGTAATGAAAGCTCCCACCCTGGCTATCCCCTAACTGCTTGAGCCCAAGCACTTTGACAAAAATGGCACTTTTACTAGATTAMATGCCTGCGGGTGAAATACTTAGCACTCAGAYCTTAGGTTTAGAAGCTCCATTGAAYGCCAGGATCCTTTAATACAACCAGAAATAATCAAATCCGGCCTCTTTGTTTTTTAGTATCGGAACACAGGGTAGGAGGTACCAGGCCCCAAGGCCTGGGAGCCYGGGTGACCATACCCATTGCTTCTGTCACCCTGGCCCCACTTCAGGTCTCTGTGGTATTCCCAACCAGGTAGGCAAGGTGGGAGGGGGTTGATTCCAGAGGCCAGCTTTCAGGTTGAGGAGGTGGAGGTTACAACAGTTAAGGGCTTTGGAAGCATYAGATTTAAACAGAATCCCCTATCCTTGCTTTCTGAACATCCTTAACATTAGAATTTCAATTTAAAAAGAAATAATTAGACCTTAAAATGGCTCCAAGAAGAGGAGAAAACAAGCTGTGAAGTCCAGGAAAAAGGAGGTGAGCCCTTTGCAGATACCACCACTCCAATAAGACCTTCTCTCCACACCTCAGTGATACCTTGGAGGAAAAGGATCAAGGATCCAGTTTAGGCTCCTTTCTGCAGCACTTTCAACTGAGCCGCAGGCTCTACACCGCCAGCCCAGCCGGCAAGGCTGCGGATCTCACTTTCTGTCTCACAGGCCGGCTGTGACTCCGCCTTACTCTCCGKGTCTCCCTGCCTTCCTCCATTCTGCCGCCCAGCTCCCTGAAACCAACAAATATCGAATATACTTGCTTCTCCGCACCCAAGGCCTGGACTGAGCAGGCTCAGCGCTATGGGATCGCAGCAGGAGTACCCGGTCCTTGCGTGGTCACCAGCTGCAGCCTCTTTCTTCGCTATTTGCTGGGTTAAAACGCTTCTCTCTCACTTCCCTCCTTTTCGCCCTGGATCTGAGAAATAAATCCAAGTCTCCTACTGCATCAGCCCTCCCCATCGCTGCTATCTCACTTCTCCTTACCGAAGATAATCTCTTTGTTTCCTGAAGGAAACCGTAATATTCAGACATTTGAGCGGTAAATGAATTTTTCTTTAAGATGTTTGATTTTCTCTCCATTTCTTAACGTCCTGCTCCGCTGGACGGTGGAATAGAACGACTTTAGAAGTCTGCAGAGGGGAGAGGGTGAGTGGAGAGATGGAGCCCAGAGTTAGCGGTCATAGATGCGGAAGACCAGGAGAACTTAGGAGGGGAAGAGGGGGGAGGAGAGAGAGAGAGAGAGAGAGAGAGAGAGAGAGAGAGAGAGAGAGAAGGCGTGGGGGTTGGGGGAGAGAGGGAGCCCCAGCTGGCGGGAGCCTAGCCAGAGAGAGAGAAAAAAGAAAAGTTTCCCGGAGTCTTCCTTAGTTGACTTCCCTATCCGAAGCGTTCTCCGGCGGACAGAACTCACCCCCAATAAAGGAAGGAGTGGGGGTCTTTATTTTTTCAATGTCCCATAGAATCCAGTGTTTACAAGATGAGAAATGCCACTGCCAGCGTTCTTCTGGAGAGAAAGGCTGAAATGGAGGACCGACGCGCCTTCCTTATAAGGTACGATGCTAACTTGACCTTCACTTTGTCATGGCGCCCCCGCCCACCCAGACTGCTGAAAGCGACCAGGCAGAGTGCGAGAAATTGCTGACCCTTGCTTCTGCCTCCCTCCTCTCTTTTTCTTTTAATTTCTGCCCTTTTCAACCCTACCTTTTCCTTTTAATTTCTTCCTTTCTTTGTTTTCTCCTCCCGTTCTTGCCGCCCCTTTCTTTCTCTCATTTGTTTTAGTCTTCCTTTGGTTTCATAGTTCCCTAAGATTCTCTGGGCCTTGCTCTCTGCCTTTGCCTCTCAGGCAGTCTTCCCCTGTCTCCCACAGGCTTCTGGACTCTTGACTCCTGGAAACATTTTTTTTTTTTTTTGTGCTAGTGTGCATGCTGCTGGGACTTAACCGAGGGTCTCATATATGGCAAGCAAGTGTTCTACCCCTGAGCCACAAACACATCTTTAAAAATTTTTTTTCAGTCTTCCCTTCATCCCCACCATGAACTGACCTCTGCAGTCCCAACTAGGCTTTTACCTCCACTCATGTGTCCTTTGGGAGGAGACTCCAGGAAAGAAAATAAAATTTGGGATTAAAAGGGTGGGGGGACTTGCTCTGGGCCCAGTGCCTACTTGGGGTTGACTATGAACTTGATTGAGATAAGCTCCTATCTTGCTCTCTCTAGTCTCACCTACCAAGTCTCCACAACACTAGTGGCCTTGCACTGAGAACTGAGAGCTAAGTCCCTGACTGTGGAGGCCTGGGGAGAGCAAAGCCCACTGCTCCCTARACTAAGAAGGGCAGAGTTCAAGTATCAAGTTGTTCTTTGTCCTTGTCTGAGCTTTATGACCCCTAAAATTCTAGAGATCTCCCTCAAGACACTCAGATAAGAAATTTAGAGTATTAACAATTTTTGAAAATTTTTACTCTTTTAATAGTAGGAAAGAGAAAGACTCTCAGAGCCTCTCTTCCTTGCTTCATGCTGCCTCCCAGGCTCCAACAGAGCTTCTGACATTAACTCTAATCATATCTTGTGTGACTATAAAATAATATTATCGACACCCCTATAATTATCTATTATCCACTTACTTGTGATGATTACAATACTAGAGGAGGCAGGTCTATGCTGACAAAGTGAAGCCAAGTGAATATTGAAAATGAAACTGGATCAGAGGCCTTCAAACTGGATCTCTTACTTATTTGAGTATGTTTTCAAAATCTGTAAGCTCCTGTCTAGACCCTTCTTGATTTAGGAGTAGTCTTTTAGTAGAACTTAGGGTAATATTGAGAGACCCTAACACCTCCTTTTCCTCTGTATCCCAAACACCCCCTGGCCCCTCCTCCTCCTTCTTCTCCTCCTCCTCAGCACAGACACCAGAGAGGGTCAAACAATAAAAGGGAAATGCTTTCTCTCACTCCCCCTACAATTATCCGGATAATTGCATGAATTCTTCCTTGAATACCACTGTGTACTGAGGGTCCAGGATTTCAGCAGGAAGTGTAGAGGACAGGATTTCAAATGGRGGAAGCTGAGAGTCCTGGGTTCTTACATTCCCGGACTTTATAGTTCTGTATAGTGTTACATTGTTTCTTCAGGCAAAGATCTTTGTTCCCCTTCAGTCATTTTTCTCCCTTTCCCCCTCCCCTTCCCTCCTCCCCSCCTTTTTGGTCCCTTTAAAGGAGACTCAGATCATCTTCTGCTCTTAATAGATGACTATAAAAGTAAAATTAATTCCCCCTTGCCCTTTAATATCAATATCTCTCTGTTAAGTATGCACATCGGCGAGAATAAACAGAATTAAGTGCTACAACCCGAACCAGCAATTACACCCAAGGTGTTTTTCTCCCCCATTGGATCTGGCTTATCAGGGGCTGTTCACTCTGGTGCAGGATAACCAGCGGGTATTTGTATTTTTTTATAAGCTCATTGGACCCTGAGCCAGCACCGACTTGGTAGAAAAAGCAACSACGAAGCCAGAGAGAAAGAGAGAGCCAGAGGAGGGAAGAGAGCGCCAGACTGAGATGAAAGGGAACCACGCAGAGAAACGCTGGGAAAGGAACCAGACGGCAGGTCCCCCGAACAAACGTGGCAGAGGGCATGACAAGCACTCACTGGCTCGCGGACAGAGGTTTATATATTTTTATTTTTAAAGTCTCATTTTGGGCCCGATGAAGAAAAGGGAGAATTCAGGGAAGGAGAGAGGAAAGAGTCCTAGCTCACAGCATGAACGCCCAGGAAGGAAAGAGCGCTGGACAAACCCGAGTGGGCGCCAGGKCAGCTCAGGCTCCAGGCAGGCGTCGTCCCACACGCAGCTCAGCTCGCGACYGGGGCCCTCCAAGCCGCACCCTGCCCGCCCCGCGGTGGCTGCCACAGCTTCCTTGCACGTCTTATCATCTCCATCTTTATGGTGAAGCTTGTTAACAAGACCAGCGAGCTGGCCACTCACATCTATCTCAGCCGCGCCCGCTCAGCCGAGTAGCGGCCGGCGGGGGGGACTGGGAGGCGCTAATTAATTGATTCCTTCGGACGGTAAAATATCGCAGCGTCTACACGGAATCCGTGGACTCATAAACAATATCTCTGCTGGGTGTGAGTGAACTGTCTCAAAGAATTTTTTTTTCCATAGGTATGTCAGACAGCCCTGAATTTTTAGTTGCTGAGACCTAAGTGAGACTAATTTTTAGGGGGCCAAAACAGGGAACTCAGTGCCTCTCCAATAATTTTGTTGGGAAAAGGAGAAAAGAAAATTTGGGGTTATGAGATAGCTTTTTCCTGCTGCTTGTGTAGGCCCAGCCCAGTTTAAAAATGGGAGTCCAATAGCTGGGACCGCTGAAAGCATCTCTTGTCCTAGCTGAAAGGGAGGCTAATCCCAGATTTGAGGCTACCAATAGAAGCCCAGGTCAACTTTTGTTTCATGTTGCTCTCTAGACTCGATATTTAAAATAAAAATTTAAAATTAAGCAAATATTAGCCTTCAGGAGCCCCCTTACGCTCAGAGAACACCTAGAAATCAACATGTCTGTTAAACACCACACCAGACCAATTCAGCCTCCTTTTTCCTACCTGGCAGAACAGAATCAATCTCTATTGTACTTACATTAGGTCTAGAAGAGAGCATCTTGGGACACACGGGGTAACCTAATCATATAATTCTATGTAGGAGTGATTATGCAGTAGATCCTGCTGAAGACAGGACTTAATCCTGTTCTAAATACCCAGCTTCAGACAAGAGAGATACAACAGGCAAATAGATATTGGYGACCACTTACTTAATAATGCTTGTAGACATAGAAGGGGATTTTAGGAGACAAGAATAATAGAAACACAAAAAAGAAAAAATAAAATTCAGCAGATGGAGACTGTCATTACTAATGCCTGAACTTCCTCTTGTTCTTACTTTTAAGATCACCAGAGAAATATGTACTATAAAGATGTAAGTCCAACAATTGTATTTTCAATATATTTGGTATACATACACCATGCGGGCAAACATAATTTACAGTGTGTAAATATGCACTTTGTGTATGTACAATATTTTTTCATTAAATTTTTGTGTACATACAGCAAGATCTAGGTAAAATTAATGCACAGATTCTATGTGTCCTGTGGAGTATATAAGCATGTTGCCAAGTAGACTCAGGACTATACATTCCCCATGTAGGACATATTCACTGTAGTATTTATATATGTAAATAAATTTTACATGTGAGTACCTATGCTATGTGATCTTTTCTCTATACATTGCTTTTCCTTGTAACAGATAATAGTGCCTCTGTGTGCATATTTTATATAAAACTGTATTTAGCATGCCCAGAAAATACAAGTAATATAGGTATCTAAAAGATCTATTAACATACATTGGTCATGACCCCAGCACGGCCAGGTGTATATATTAGGGAATATCTTTCCAGGATTCCATGTGGACTACATGCCTTTCAGAAAGCTTTCCAAGCAAGGACTCCTGGTGGGTTGGATCCCTACAGACCTGTCCTTGAAGGAAGTTTTCCTCTCATGGTCAGACAAACTGAAGACTTGTCTCCAAGTGCCCAGCAAACTCTTTGGCTTGAAAATGAGAAATCATCCACTGGCACTGAGCTGGTTCCCACTGGTCCAGCACTATAGTCTTGTGGTGGTTCAATTTYCTGGCTTCTGTGTTAGGATTCGGCGGGTAGCACAGGAGCCACCGGGGGCAAAACCGCCAGAGATAAGAAACCCCGCTGGAGGGCTGGCTGCTACTGTGGGGACACTGCGTGCTGGCAAAGGGAAGGCATTTTGGTAGAAATGTCTGGTTCCAGTAGCTCAGACAGAGCCTCAAACTCCATCTGCTTTTCAAGGCTTCCCACAAACTCATGGTGTGTGCCCWCAGGCCCAGGGTGCTCAGGGAAGAGGAACTGGGTGGGACGCGGTCCAGGAGAGACAGTCTCCACTGCTCCGGCCAGCAGGGGTCATCCCGTCCTTCGCGGGGCCCGACTGCCCTCGGAAAGCGACCAGAGCCTCTGGCGCTGTTGGGCGGCGAGCTACTCGGATCAGCCGGATCAGCCGAGGCTTTGGGCGCGCTGAGTTGCCTCTTCCTGGGCCCCTGAAATGGACCAGTCGGCGGGATCCGGACCGATCCGGGTCTCAGAGCCCTCTCCACTGGGCCGGGGCGCTGAGGCGTGAGTTGGGGAGTGGCCCAGGCGCCCGAGTCCTCCGGCAGCAGCCGACCCGCCTTTGTCTTGGGGCCTCCCCTAGAGCAACAGCAGCGAGCACTGCGCGRGCCTGCAGCGGTGAGCGGCGGCGGGAGAGACTGGGGAGTCTTGTGGCTGCGGGCGTGAGCCGCGGGGCCCATCCGCGGAAAATCGGCAACTCTGTCTCCATGGAGGCAGATACAGAAAAGCGGCCGCTCAGGCTTAAGACCAGGCCTGTGGGCTGCGGGATACCGGACCTTCTGTTCACCTCGCGCTGGATTACACCAAAACCTTCTGCACCTCCAAATGCCCACTGCGCAGAGAGGTTTGGAGGCTCCAGGGTGCGTTTCTCGTGTGGCCTGGAGCCTAAAAACCGGCCCCGCTTTCTTGGATATAAAGGGGAGGGAGGGCTGGGCGCAGGAGAGTCGTGGTCCGAGCTGGCCGGAACCCAAGGTCCCAAGAGTTTGTTTTGTTTGCGGATCTGGGCCCCTGGTCCCAGCTCTGCTCTGGGTCTGAGCCATCGATCGCTCTGGGTTTCCGGTTGCATTAGCATCCACAGAACCCAGACTGCCGGATCCATCTCCTGCCTGCTCGCTCAATAGTGGCTTTAAATACCCAGCTTTGGTTGTGCAGATCCGAGTGGAGCAGAACAACTTCGTAGATAATCAGGACCAAATACAGAACTCATTTGGGTGATATAMGCTTATATATGTAAGCAGAACAGAAGAATGATTTTCTTCCTAAATCTTATTTAGGAGAAATATCTTGCTCCTTRAGACCCAGTTTTAGACACAGGGTGCTTTGTGTTAAAGTCAGTGGAGTCCATTGTAATTTGGGGGGTTAAACTAGACAAATAGTTGTGGCACAGACACAATCCTCACTCAGATTCAGAGCTCAGCCTCAACCTGAATATTGGGGTGGTGGGTCCACCATGACCTCCTTTTAATGAGAGACCCATGGAATTCCTTTTCAGTCCTGAGGAGAAGGCTGTAGTGTTTTCCTTCTCTGACAACTTCCTCGGTTATTGAAACTGGAGGCCTGCATAGACGCCACCCAAGAAGGTGCTTTCTCTTTCAGATTGGAAGCGGTTTTGGAATAAATTAAGGGACAGTTATTCATGATCTCCCTAAGTTTCCTCTTTTTTAAAAGCCACAAACTCTTACACTGTTGGCCTTTCCTGTATAGACACATCTTAAGCAGTGGATAGATAGTCCTTTGCCTGATCTCCCCACCTTTACTCTTTATTCTGGTAGTTAACTGGCCCCTCCCCCAGCTCCTGGCTTCCAGAAGCTGGTTACCCCCAGCCTCTCCTGCACTCCCTGGGGCCTCAAGGCTTGGAGTCTCCTTCCTGCCTGCACCCATAGGCTCTGCCAGACAGTTGGGAATTAGGAGTAAAGGGAGAATGGGATTTGATATAAATTTGCTAGTTTCTTTAATTGAGGAATGAGGAAAGGAGAGAAAGATTTCAGGGCAGGAGGCTTTGACTCTATGGTCAGTTCAATGGGAGCACCTGGTATTCCTTCAGAAGCCTGGGAGGGTGGAACAGGAATTTGGAAGACTGTTTATTATGGCTGAAGCCAGAGAGTTAGAAAGGGTCACTATGGGGAGMAAAAGGAGTAAAGGTCAAGGAAGAGGGAGGGCATTTCATAGRGCAAGAAGGGATAGTGGAGGTGGAAAGGGCTCACGGGTACATTGCATCCTGCTGGGCCACTGGCCTGGATGTGGGCTTCTCTCTGGAAAAGCCCAGMGGCGAATACTGGCTTCAAGGATGGAGCCTACTTCACCCACTCCAAGGGGTCTTTAGTTTCCTGCCCAGTTATCTTACAACACACAATGTCCTCTCAGAGTGAAGTTCCAGAATTAGGACCACAGAGCTGAAGCTCCCGAAACACCAACCCCCATTTCAGGGGCACTCAAATCACCCCCAAGTCCCAGCTCAGCTTCTATTATTGAGTTCCTGTAATGTAGACCTCCTTTTTTGAAACTGGTTTCTGCTTCTTCTGAGCTGTCCACATTATTTTAGTCCCCGTGATTCCTTGGAGTTCTCTCTCCTCCCCCTAGTCTACAGCTCCCTAATTTTCTCTTTGCCATTAATTGCTGGAGACTACAGATGGCAGTTCATCAACATTTCTTGGTTGACTATATATTTTTGTTGCTTCTTCAACTGTTCTTCCTTTATTATCTATTATACATTTATGATTTTTATTATTCACCTGAATTGGAGAAAATAAAGTGGAGAACAGTTAGGAAGTTGAAGCTCTCATTCTTTGTGGACAGAGGAGTTGATATGTGGGGGGCCCGATTTTAAAAATTGTTCCAAAAATCATACTGTCATACATCCATATTTTAATTATTAATATTAATATGACAAAGCAACTCTGTACAAGGACCATATAAAGGAGAAACGTGCTAAAGACAGATGTTTGAATAGAAGRATATACTACAGAGAGCTGGGAAGGAAGTAGGGAAGGGGTGACTATCCATGGGGACTATACTAGGTACTAGCAACAGACACATAGTACAGGACATAGATTGACAGAGAAACTCACGGAAGTCAAGTTTAAAGTGAAGCAAATAAAATATTGCATATTTGTCCTCCCGCCCCCCACTATTTTTGAAGTGTTCTGGTCTCTCTGATAGGTTGTAAGAGTCAAGTCAGGGTGCTGAAGCTTGAATCCAGCACTGACCAGGCTGGGTATGGGTATGCCTCATTTCCAGGACCAATGCACAGGAGATTGAGTGGACAGCTGGAAAGGAGGGGCACTCTAGGAAGGAGTACCTAGGTGAAACAAGTATAGGTTGGTGGAAAGTGTGTCAGGTGTCAGGTGCCCCGTGGGGAATGAAGGCATGTGATTGTATCTCCTCTCTATAGGACCCTGTGAGCACTAATAGGCTGCCTGCAAGTGCAGTAGTGGGCTTGTAGCGGCCCCAGTGGTTTGCTGAGTTCAACTGTTTGCCTGTGCCTCAATACAAACCCTTACAAGGACTTGAAGCTGTGCTGTTGTTGGGGACGTCTGGTGATCTGTGGATTACCCTCAGAGGATGGGAAGACTTTGCCCTGGTGGGAAACACTCTAAGCCAGCAGGCCAGTTTCATACTGTCCAGGCAGCACTTAACTCCAATCAGTCTTTGCTTCTCATCTCTTTTGCTTCTATAGGRTGGGACAGCAGATGGGAGGCTGGCAGACTCTTGGGAAGAGGAGTAAAAACTGAGTGCAGGAGGGCTAGTGGGCTCTCTTTCTCAACTGCTCCTCTTTGGAGAGTCAGCCCAGGGTCTACTCCACTGGGTCTGGGGCCTGAAGGCATTTATGGATAAAAGGCTTTCCCACTTGGAGAAGCCAATCTTTGGCCTCCAATGGGTTCTAGGGAAGTGCCCCTCCCTCTGCTGTGGTCCTTGTATTCCAGTGGTTCGCTGGCCTGGGGGCAAAGCAACCCAGAGACAAAGGGCAATGGGGGGGGCGGTAATGGAGAGAAAGGAGTTGGGTGGGGAACTGTAACCTCCTTCATTGTCGCCAGCCTGGGAAACAGGGGCTGAGCTGGGCCTCCGCGGCCAGTAGCCCCTTTAAGGGCTGATTCTCTTCCCGCCTCGTAAATTACTCCGGTCCAGCCTCTTCGGCCATGACCGTGAACGCCAGCGGGAAAGGGAGAATCAGCCACTGCTGCCTTGGATGCCAGAAACTCTCCCCGCCAATCAATGCTGTGCTCGCCAGCCCCTTCCGAAGCTTCTTGAACTTCCTGGAGGGCCAGGTGGGGGTCCCTGGGGTGGCTACTGATCTTGTGGCTGCATCCGATTGGCCCTCAATTYCTGGCTAGCTGCTGTCCATCCACAGCCCCATAGGCCAAGATAGCAGGTCACCTGTGAGCCAGTGTTGGCCAGGGCAGGCAGGGGACTTCTGAGAGGGCTGGGTCCAGGAGACTGTTCTGGAAACCTGTCCTAGAGGGGGCATAAGGCTGATGATAGCCTTGCTTGTAGCTCAGTCTGCCAAACCCTGAAACTTCTGCCCACACTATGCCCAGGCCTGGGGAACCCAGACCTGAACAACTTTGGGCCTTGCTGATCATTCTCTTCTTCTAAACTGCACTTCCTCCTTGGTTTTCCCCACCCTCCAGTCCTGCCAGAGGTACCCTGACTCCCTTTAATGATCCTCCCCTCTTGCTCCCTCCTTGCAGCTGGTTCTAATCCCACCAACTGTGTGTTTGGGCACCTTGGTTCTACTATCCACCGTCATCTGCTCCTCCAGGAAGAGAGACTAAAGACCACAGAATGGAAGTGGAGGAAGGGGCATCTGAGCCGCTGTTTCTTCAGATCCTTAGCCTAGGTGCAGCCCCCCATTCCTGCCTCAAATACACCAACTCCATGCAGTGCCCCAGTCTTTCCTGCTTCTGCCACCCAATGGCAGCTGTGAGCTTACTCTCCCTTCTCTCTGGGACCTGGCAGGGCCTGCTGGATGGGGTTGTGGGAGGGAMCCGAGAACAAAACAGACAAGAGGATGTCCAGGGAGGGCCTGCCAGAGAAGCCTGGCGATCTAAGCGGGAACTGCGTCCCAGGCAGCGCCCTCTCTTACTCTCTTTTAGTACAGGCTCAGTCTGGGGCTGGTGCTGGTATCCTGACCCCCTAAAAGAAGGAGAGCGCTTGCTCCCTCAACAGAAGTCTTTTCTTTTTCATTCTCCGGTTTTGAAACCAGATCTTGACCTGCTGGTCACTAAGATTCAAGCGGTCCGAGAGTTCCCTCCGGCGCTGGCGTGTGATGAACTCGTTGACCAGAAATTCGCCCTCCAGCTCAGCCAGCTGCAACTTCGAATAGGGCTTGCGCTTCTTCCGTGAGCGGCTGTGGATCGGGTACCAGGGCGCGCCTGGGTGGAGATGAACCGCAGGGTTGGCTAGAGGATCAAGGGGTGACCAGCCCAGTGCCCTCGACCCTTCCCCAGATCCTTTCACTTTGGCTCCACATAGGACCCTAAACCCTTCCTTTCCCTTCTTGCCTCTATGCATCCGCATCCCAATACCCTCCTCTACCCAGACCCCACCCCCAACAATTCCTCATCTCATCACTCTTTTTTCCACTCTCATTCCTTGCCCTTGACTCCTCAACCCTATCTCTGTTCTATGTTCCTATTCCTCACTTCTCCCCAAACCTCTCCGATTTCTTCTTTCCTATTCCTGCCTGGCCTGGTTCTCCCACATTCACCACCACTAGGTCCTCATCTGTTAGAACAAACACGGACAAGTGGTGAACAGCCTGTGTCCACTGATGTTTCTTTAAAAAAAAAAATGTAGATAACGGGGGTCAGTGGGAAGGCAGAGGGAGAGCCAGGTTCTCCTTTCCCACCTCCTTACCCCAGGCCTAGGGAAGTCCCAGTCAGGATCCTCCTTCTCCSGAGCTCCAGTTCCCCTCTAGTAGCAAGCCAACAAAAAAGGAAATCTCACCAGTTCTTTTATGGGGATATTTACATGTTTATAGGTCTCTCCCCCCCCCCCACCGGCACTTCTTTTTAAAAGAAGTGCTAGCTCACCACACATTCTGTCACCCCAGGCAGCCCTAGCTCAGTCCTACCCTGCCCACCCTAGTAGGATGTCAAATCTGAGTAAGTCTCCGAAGCGGGCCGGGGTCCTTACCGCTGGCTGAGAGCCCGCCGCCGGGGTTCAACGGCGATACCAAACTGCCGGGGTCGCCTGTCCCGGCGCCCTTGTTGCCCTCGTTGAGTAGGGACGAACTGGAATCGGATTCCAACGACTGACACGAGGGTGGGTCGTGTGGGGGTCCAGTACTGCCGTCCCCACCGCCGCCGCCTGCCGCGTAGTCGTACTTGAAGCCCAGTGCAGGGGGCCCCGACGGCTCCAGCGGCAGCAGAGCTGCCCCGGGCCCGGGTCCCGGGTCGCGCCCGCGCTCCTCACGCTTCAGACTCCCGCCGCCGCCCTCCGCGCACGGCTCGCGGTAATAACCCTTGCTGTCCTCCACACGAGCCAGCTCGCACGTGCGCCCGAAGGGCGGGTTGAGCGACACTGGGCTGCCGAGATAGGGCTGCGGGTAGCCATTGCACGGCTCAGCCGACGGCCAGGGCAGCGAGCACACGTTGTCGCGGCGTGGGTAGGACAGCGAAGGCAGCCCGGGGAGTTGCGCCCCGGACGCGCGGAAGTTGGGGAAGTAGAAGGTGTCTCCTGTGTGGATGTTCACCAGCGGCCCCACAAACCCAGGATTCAGGAGATTATGCTCGCCCATTTCCGCGGGGCCCGACCGGCAGCTTCTACTTTATTGCTATCTGACATTAAACATAGTTAAACCTGCACCAGTCACCCATTGGCCGCTCTGCTCACGTGGGCGCCGCCGCCAGGGGGAGGGGTGGGGACAGCCGATTCCCCCCCCCCCCACCCGGTACCAACTCCAACTTCCCCCTTCCCCAATCGCGAGCGGAGGTGGCGGGGGGGGGGGTGCGGGACGAAAGGTGGGGGCAGGTTTATTCGCTGGATTCTGTTTTTTTAAAAWAATCATATAAAACCTGGGGCAGAGAGTGAAGCGATCGCTGGATACGGGGGCAAGAGGGAAAAAGCTACACCAAAAATACCGGCACATACACACCCCTGCACCCTGCAACGCCTCCCCCCATATGTATTATCGTATCCCCAACAGCTGGACGAGTACAGCCTGTCCCTCTTTAATTAGCTCCTTTATTAACTAAAACCGTTGGAATTTACAATATCTCCCCAATAAATTACTATTAGATATTGTGTCATATAAAGTTTACTGGCTGTTTAAGGAGACGGATGAGCCCTTTGGCTCGGGGTTTATTTACAGTAGAGGCGAAGTGGGGGTAAGGACAGGTTTCCCTGCAGCTATCTCTCCCAGCTCTGCTGCTGCTGCTATGCTCATCTTCATCAGCTCTTTCTTAGGAATTTGGAGATATTTGGGGTCCTCTCATCAAGAAGGGCTGCGGAGAATTGGTAATGCCAGTTCTTTTCCCCAGACCAAGAGCCACCCCAGCCTCACACCTCCACTCACCATTAAAGGAAGGATGCAAAAGGAAACCAGAGGAAGCAAAAAAGGAGCTGCCTGCCTGCTGGGGGCTTTGGACTACTATTCCACTGCAACTTCTGGGGATGGAGGGTCTTCTGGGAATCTCCTGAAGTCTTTTTAGCAGGAGTCTGTGTGCCCCTACCAAGGCTTGGCCGGCCAGAGAGATGCCTGACTTCCACTGCAAAGGAGATACCCACACACAACCGCGGACTTGCCGCTGGGACCATCAGACAGCAGCACACAGAGGCCAGCTTTAGGTTGCCTCCTGAGGTGGGCTGGGAGTGAGGGAAAGAAACCTGGAAAATTATCTTGTTGGGGTTTTCAATTTTTATTTATTGTGCAAGCCTCGGAAGCTTCTCCTGAGAAGTCTGAGAACCCAAAGCTGATGGGTGGTGAGATAATCAACATCAGCAAAAACATAATTGGATTCTCAACTAGATGCACAGAGCACAGTCAAATGGATTTAAAAGACAAGAAAAATATGCCCCCCCAATCAGATTATCTTATTGGGGCCACAGTTGAGAAAACACTCAGATATCTATGTGATTATTTCGAACTTTGATCCAAGGCACAGGCTTAAGTAGTACAAGGTTAGATAAATAGTTCAGCAAATGTACAAATAMAAATAATCCGCTGGAAATTTACGGAAAGCCAGAGGGACCGAGACAGTCCGAAAATAAGAGAGAAAGAAATCCATGTAGGTAAAAGTTAAGTATCTGAGAATTATCCAGAGCTACAAAGGACACTGAAGTGGAGGAGAGTCTCATTTCCCTCTTTTTCTCTCTCCCTCCCCTCTCTCCTCTGCAGGACGCGGCAGAAGAAAACACAGATTCYTCGAATTCCACCGCTCCCTGAATGATTTCATATCCCAAACTATTGCTGCTCACTCCGACAGAAATGTGTCCCCGCGGGCGTCGCCCTAGCAGCTCGCAGCCGGTAGCTCGACGCCCTCCTCTTGCCCAGCTTGGCGGGTTCCGCTTCCCCGCCCCGGCCAGCCAGGCCGCTCGACCGGCCCCTCCCGCCCGGAAGCCGGTCCTGCGCCAGGCCCACTTGCCCGAACCGAAGTCTAGCGGTGGGATGCCCCTCTGTGCAGTCAACCTACAGTCAGATCTAGAGGCGCTAAAGAATGTGCAGGACATTCGGACTGGATTGGTCTTTTTGTGCYTAATTGATTAAGGGGCCTCGAAGCTGCAGAGAGGAGCATCCCTCAGCTGCAAATTCCGTATCACWGCATTTCCAACATCTCATTTCCCGTCTTCAAGATGCATTAATGAGCGCTGTTGAAATTTTAATTTTTATAATTTTTATTTGGGGGTTACTTTGGTCATAAAGATAAACAGGGTGTGACTTTAATATTGCTGATTTCAATCAGAACACTACGCTGGCAGCGAAGTCTCCGCCCAGGCTCCCCAGGCCTCGGCGGCGCKCAGCGGCTATTGTTGGTGTGAAGGATGCCGGAGCTGGCTTAGCCGAATAATCACTAGCCTTTATGGGATAGAGTCTTCTCCCCACTCTCTTTTCCCTTTCCAGATGACTCTGATCTCCTAGAAAAAGGACTCCAGGACGAAGGTCTCGGCCTCTCTCGTCCCTCCCCAGCTCGAAAAAATCTCAGGCTAGGAGCTCTCCTTGCTGCCCTCCTGGGCCAGACCACTGAACGCTGGAAGCATCGGCCACTGGGCGGCAGATGCAATGCTGGGGAAAGGGTTGGGTAAGGGTTTCCTTCCACAATTGCATTTCTCCCAGCCCCTATTCGGCTCCATCAAAGCAGGCTGTTTTCTGCAGGTTTCAGACTCTGGGCACCGACGCACGCACCAACCCGCTTCCTTCTGTGGAACCGGATATTGGTTTCTCTCAGGAAGAGCTGCCGAGAGTCATCAGTAAAATTCGAATCCTCAGGGTTCTGCTCCCTCAAGTCCACGGTGAACCAACCTRGGGATTTTCAGGACCTTGCAGAGGACTCAAGCAATCTAAGTATCCATAGCGAACCACAGTGGCTCTGTTTGCCTCTAAGTAACCCCTCCACCGACGCAACTTAGACGCCCCTTCCTTCACCGGCCTCAGACAAACAAAACGMGGCTCCCAAACTGGATCCCCGGGGCCGACGGGAGGCTAGGTTGTGAAGCTTCAAATTTTATGTCCAGCCTTGGTAAAACCTGCTCCCTGGGAACGCGCTGAGGCTAGGTGAGGAGATTAGGAGGGACTTGCAGCCCAAGCGATGGGCAGCTGCGTTTAGCCGGGTTTAATCCGCCGGCACTCCACTACTCACACGCAAAACTATGGCTAGTCAACAGCGGAGCAATTGGTGCGTCTCAACTCTCCTGCACATTCATCAAATCACGGTGCTAGAAGGGGTGGCTTGCCTGCTGGTCCCTAGGCCACTGGCTGTCGCTGCAGCTGGCCAGGCTCAACCATGCCCCGCTCATTAACTCGGGGGTTAATTAAAGCTGAAGGCAAGGATACAGTCCAAGGCTTTCCTTGAAGACCCTAGGCAGCCGGCGTCTTTCAGCGCATCCACCAGCTGGATGCCCCTCCATCTCTTCCACACTTTGTCTTTTTTCCTATCCCTCCCGCATCCTCATGGTCTCTACTGTGACTAAGATCGGGGACAGGAGTTAATGATAAAATTTAAACCGTCTTTGGTGACTTGGGCAAAGCGGCTGTAGGAAGCTTATGCCTCYGGAATCAGTTTAAGAGGCAGCTGCGCTCAGGCCCTCCTGCCAACGAGGTCGGGAAATATTCAGCACAGTGCTGCCTTCTCCCTGGTGGGTGAGAGGCCGGAGAGGCCCAGTTCAAGGTCACTGTCTAGTTTGCAGAAAGCGGTTCTGCCATGTATGCAAATGAGTCAGGGCCTGGACCCCTGTAGGGATGCAAGCAAGAGATTTGAAGGATAGGGGAGGGGAGAAGAAGAGAGGTGGTTGGGGAGGGCCTGAACCCCGCCCAACTCCTGGTTCTCTACATCTCTCCATTTTGGTATGGCTGGGGTTTGGGACTGGAACTTTGTCAAGTTCAGACAGGGGTGGGGGTAGGAGTAGTAGATTTGTTCTCCTCTTTCYTCATTTCACTGGCTTCTCTAGTATTGGAGCCCACCTGGCTCCTAGCCCTCCCTGTGAGTGTCCAGGACCTAGATCAAATCGGAAGATCCTTTCTTCAGTGCTGCTTTCTAGGGATCTGCAGCCTGGAGGAGAGGGGCTTGGATGAACCTTGGGTGAAGGAGCCCAGACAGGCATTCAGGTTCAGACTCCTCCAATCCTGGCTCCTCTGGGCTCCCTCCTGCCAAAAGACCCCAGTCGAATTGCCACTCAGAAAATGGGAAAGGGGTAAGGGGAGAGAGACATCTGGGAGACCATTTCTTCACACACACCTCAACCTGAGCATTTCCAAATGAGCCATCTTCCCTCATTTTTCTGTCCTTTCGGTGGCGCGCTAACAGTTAAATAGAACCGTAGCTCTGACATTTTCCGCCTCCGCCAGCAGAGGATCTCCTCCGCCTAGAATTACTGAATGTCAGAGAAGGTGTAGGGACCAAGTTGAAAAAAAAAAAAAAATCATCAAATGCCACACCCACAGCCGCCAGTAATGCAGCCCAGTCCAGGTCTGCATCCACCTCCAAGCTGGGTAGGGGGGATGGTGATGACTACCCCAAGTGCCYTGGACCTTCAGCCCTGCAGGCTGACTCTGACCACATCCACTGGCTTGGTCCAGCTCTGAAGAAGGCTTGAGATCTGCTTGGGGTCTGCTCAACACAGCTACCCAGCTGCTTCCCAAACCCAGGACCCCAGTCCTGGGCGAAGGGGGGCCAAGGATTGAGGTTGGAGCAACCAACCCAGGAAGCTGATGGGGGTGGGACAACAAGCTGACAACCTCAAAGCTGGCTGAGCTTGGAGAACAGGGGTTCACTTACCTTTGGAGACTGAAGAGGCTTAGAAGGGTGAGGGACAGGAGTTCTCAGYCTCTAGAAACCTTCCGCATCCCCCCTCCCCAAGGCCGCCCGCAGGCCCAGCCGAGGTATCCAAGGGGCGGGGCGGGAGAGGCGAAGGGAGCGGCCAGCGGCAGGCGCGCGGGAGCTGAGTTGCCAGAGCATCTCTGGAGAAGCCGCCTTTTATGGGCGTTATTAGCGCCCCTGTCTAGACTGGAGACGACACCTCCTCTGTGTGTAAACAGAGGCGGCGGGCTCCGGCGCGAAGGGGGATGGTGAAGCAGCCCTCCCCTTCATTGGCCACCGGAAGATCAAGGCCTTTTCCATCCTCCCCCCCTTCCCCTGTGCTCCCTGTGATGTCAAGGTCAGAAAGACCTAGTCATGGTCAAGGYTAAAAGAGGAAGAGCCTGGTTGGTTGCTAAAAGAGTCTAGCCCCCTCCTCCTTCTCCCAGAAGCCCCTCGCTCCTCAGGGACCCTCAATCCTGCACCAACCAACGAATGTCTAGATACACATCTGCGAGACCCGGCACTTAGAAGTTTTGTTAAGGGTGGGCTCCAATACCACCTAAGACTGACTCAGGAGGATCCTGGTGGGAAATTCTCTTTGAAACAGGATGGAGCTACAAAGAGGTCAATTGCAGGGACCCCAGCTGGAACAGGAGGGACTTTTTAGAGAGATGTGGGCTTTGCACCCACAATGAGTGCTCACCTCTCTCCCCACTGCTGACCCAGCCGCCTGTGAATCAATCTCAAGAGAAGATGGTCTCAAGAGCAGACAGCCATGAAGGGATCTGCTGAGAGAATTGCTGGCCTTGCTTCCTCAGGTGGGTTCCTGACTCTGGGACTACTGACCGAAGAAAGGCCTATCTTGAAAAGCTGAGTGAGGAAGGGTTTTTTCTCCAATCAAAAAAGGATCTAGCTGAACCATCCTTGGCAGCTTAGGAGAATGACCTCCATAGGGTGAGTCCTGTGAAGCCCCAGCTCACTAGGCACACTTCTTGGCCTAGGGCAAGTGGGGAGTGGCATCAGGCTATCAGAAGGATACAGCCCTTCAGACTAACCTCTTGTACCCTCCTATTTGCC